GACCAAGACCAGGCTGAAAGAGTTCAATGAATCGTTTTTGGAGGTCTGCAGCATGCTGTTGTGTAGTAGCAAGAGTTTTTACTTGATTACAGATAGTGCTGATAGGTAGATTGGCAAGACCAAGTTCTTCGAACCAATCTAAACCCAGAAGATTGAGAGGGGATTTGGTGATGTAGCACGTACCATTGAAGGTTGTACCTCTGAACGAAATACAGCAGTTAAGTTCACCATGAAGTCGGAGATGACCACCACATGCACTAACGGCTGTCTGCGAAGACGGTTTGATGGGAGGTTGACCCAAGGTTCGCCAAGTATCTTTCGACAGGATAGTGATATCTGATGCAGTGTCCAACTGCAATCGAACTGGTTGACCATTGATTGAGAGGGTTAGAAATTTGCGCCGCGTGGCGGCATGAGTGTGAAAGACTGCTGCTAAACTCCTTGATGAGGGAAGCTGCTTTTTAGTATAACGACGTTGCGTCTGTGCATTTCGACGCCTATTGGGTCGATGAGATTGACAAAAACCGCTTTTGTGACCAACTTTATGACAGCGATCGCACACCTGCTGTTTGAATGGACAAACTTTCACATAATGCCAGGCTCCACAGTGCCAACATGGAGAAGGGGGCTTCTTGTGAACCGGTACTCTGTGGGCGATTGGTGCGACCATTTCATGGGCTTTTAACATAGCATCGTATTGATGAGAGCTGAAAGCGGCATTGTTAGGACCTGCTAATTCAGGGATAGTGGGGTTTGAATCCACTACCGGGTATGTTTCTGAAACGGATAGTGCTGGACAACCGGGCGTCTCTTGAGAGTCTGCTGTTTCGTTTGAGTTGCGGCTGGTCGAGGATTCATGGAGGCTGTGATCATTTGCCAGCTCTGTGTGCAATTCAGAGATTAATACATCCACTTCCGACGCATATGCGAAGCATTGATGATCCAGAAACTGTGAGCGTAGTTTGACCATGAACTCCAAATGTCGGTCAAATAGCAACTGTAAGCGGTCAGAAGGGAGCGTCATTTTTCACTTTTGTCCCCGTCGCCAATTGTTATAATGCGAAATATAGCGTATTGCGATAGGACTACGCGAAATTCTACCGATTGACCAAATTCAGATATCCTAGTTCGACCCCAGTACTGTTCCCCAACTCCAATAAATCAGAACACAGCCGTTAAATGAGAATTGTTTATGGGGTCAGCAGCAGAACAACAATGGTTTACAGATAAGGCATATTTATACAGTTACGATGACTATTAACAGTAACCAATGGAAAAGAAGGACACGTAAAGGTTATAATTAGGACGACTCAAAATTGACCAATAGGGAAACGACACATGAAAGTCATAGTTAGGACACTGTAAATAATGGCCAATAGGAAATAACATGCGAATTATGTGAAGAGTCTGGAAACATACCATTTTACATTCGAGATAATTTTTGGGATATTCTTGTGAATATCCTAACAGTTTGGATTCTCCAACTATGTGAATAATCAGAACTTATACATCAGTTCTAAGATGGTGGTTGGAGGTGGTCAACAGGAAACCCTGGACCCAGGTTTCGTGCTACTTGGCACTCGTCGGCGAGGTATACCTGTAATCTTGAGGGAACTGTCGCTCCCTGGCGGATTCAATCCCGTGTCACTCAGCTTCACAGTCACAGACGTTACCACTGAGTTATTCGGGCCGCGACCAGCCTCCTGTAGGACTGAGATGTAATCACAATTGATTGATCACTGGGTGGTGATCAACGTCATGCGTGGCAAGTCCTTCTTAGTGCTGATCGAATGCTATCGATCAAGTTGCAATGTGGCCGCCAGTCTAGGTGGCTCGCCACTGCGTGTACTATATATATTGAGGTAAGATGTTGGTTGGAGGTGGTCAACAGGAAACCCTGGACCCGGGTTTCGTGCTACTTGGCACTAGTCAGCAAGGTGTACCTGTAATCTTGAGGGAACTGATGCTCCCTGGGTCCAGGGTTTCCTGTTGACCACCTCCAACCAACATCTTACCTCAATATATATAGTACACGCAGTGTCGAGCAACCTAGACTGGTGGCCACATTGCAACTTGATCGATAGCATTCGATCAGCACTAAGAAGGACTTGACACACATGACATTGATCACCACCTAGTGATCAATCAATTGTGATTACATCAGTTCTAATTACTTAAAGGACCATTATAAATCATTATTTTTGAACCATTTTTGTACCAGTCCAACTTATGTAAATATGAAGCTTTTCATGTACAACCAAGTCATTACTGGACTGTAGAATTATGGTCTACTTTGTTATTAGTAGTATTATAATAATAGACTTAATCCTAAAATTGTAGATATGTCATGATATGACTGCCTAATCTATAAGATCTTATGTGGAAGACACATCATTGTCTATATTGACTCATCGTATCGTAACAATTAACAATATGATACTTATTACTTCTGTAGAACACATTTAGGCTAAAGATAGGATAATATATTTAATGTGAATAAAGACAAGTTATACAGAATGACCATGCCTGCAAGGCAGAGCCATGCCATCCGATTAAATCCAATTAATTCTTCCCATCTTCTCCAATATTGATCTTCACTTTGTGTTAATTGTTAAATATGTATTTTCCCAATTATCTCATGTTCAGCTTTGAGGATTGTGTGTTTAGGAGTTCTTAGAGCAAAGTATTTCAACAAGTCCCCGTTTCTTATTTCTTGGTCTATCCTGACAAGTGAGTGATCCCTAATTAGATGTTAGCAGTTCAGGAATTGACATCTGAATAATGTGTATTCTTTTCGATGTACACCGCCAGCAACCACAATATCTCCGATTGTGTTCTTTTGTAACTTTTACGGAGAAAGATCATGAACTTTTCATAAATTCACCTGAATAGGTTGCACAATTAATTGACATAATGATCTATCTAAATGGCAGAAAATAGGTAGGCCAGATATTCAAACAGGTTGTCTTTATTGGAAATCATACAACATTGAACAGTTCCCAATTAAATGTTATTAATTATATAAAAAACAAGAACTATATGAGTTTATTTCTGGTAACAAACATCATAATGAATCATTATAATGATTATTCATTTCCTGTCATTATAATTTTGTATATACATTCATATTTTACATTTTAAACTAACGTTAAAATCAGAAGGGGTTTTTGTGGATATTTTAATAATTTTAATAGTTGAGATCATGAATAAATTGAAGCTAGACCATCATGGAAAACCTGGAAGCACTGGACGGCCGTTTCGTCCTATTGTGGGACTCCTTAGCAGTGCGCATCCACGATCCCGCCCCGCGAGATTCGAACCCAGGACCTATCAGCCTCGCACCAGAGCACTTAACGGATAAAATACTGAGCCGGTGTCCAACGGAGTTAATGTTAAGTTAGACATTGATATCGTTGGGTGCTGGCTAAGTGAAACTGATAAGTTCTCAGTTCGAATCTTGTGAGGCGGGATCATGGATGTGCACTGCCGAGGAGTCCCACAATAAGACGAAACGGCCTTAAAGCAGTGTTTCCAGGTTTTCGATGGTGATCTAGCTTCCATTGATTCATGATCTCAATTGTTATAATAATGTTAAAATGTCAATATTTTATTAATAGTAAACTGAAAATTGATGTTTGTTTTTTGTTCTCTATCAGAATGTAGGCCGGTAATTTTCCATTCTATCTGTACTGTGTATTATCAGTTGTAATGAAAAATTACTTCAATGATCCTCTTTATCATCAATCATAAATATCACATTAATCAAATTTAAAATTATTTAAAAAAACTTATCACAATTCAAATTATGATTTAATAAGTATAAGTTTTCTATCACTTACTTACTTGCGCCTGTTACTGTCAATGGAGTATAGACCACCGCCCAGCACTCTCCAACTCGCTCTGTCCCGAGCCTTCCTTTCTAGTTCTATCAAACTTTTGTTCATTCTTGTCATATCTGTCTCCATTTATCGGCGTTGTGTGTTCTCTAGTCCTTCACTTTTCCTTTGGCCTTCAGGTTTCCATGTAAAGGATTGTCTTGTGACACATTTGGGTGATTTCCTCAATGTGTGTCCTATCCACTTCCGCTTCTTCCTGATTTCTTTCTCCGCTGGAATCTGGTTTGTTGTCTACCACAATAGGTTGTTGCTGATAGTGTCTGACCAACATATCCGAAGTATTTTGCGTAGATAACTGTTAATAAACACCTATATCTCCTGGATGTTTTTATCACTTGATACTTGTGTAATGACGTTAAGATAATTATGGATCATCTATGAAGTTACATTTATATAGAATCGTACAGTTTAATAAAATCTATGTTATTTATATAATAGTATTGTATTATTTATGTGAGATTAGTCAATATTTTTAGTGGTCACATTAATCAACACGGTGATTATCTTTAGTCATTATAAACGGAAAGTATGACTAAACTAATTCATATTAGATCGTAATACACACCATATTGAAATATAACTATTTTTGATCATAGGTAACATTGTTTATACAAATGAAACACCGTTTGAATTTTCAAGGACTTTTCTACATTTGAACTCGTTAGTAGTTATGTGTGTGTTTCTCAGTATTCCTAACCTACCTTTGGAAAATCCGGGATGTAAAATTCTATCAGTAAGAAAAAAAACACTATTTTGTCATAACAACTGGATAGATAGATCTGAATGCTAATAACTCCTGTTCTTCACATTTATTATCTGTCTTTTTACTTATATAATCAAATAATTTTCACAGTATTTTAGTAAACGAGAACACAGAGTGATTGATGTGGAAACGAAGGAACAATCATGTCCGAGACGATTGATTGAAATTTTGCAAATGAAGTATTTACTGTCAATCTGATGTTAACAAACATAGTTTATGTAAAGAGTGAACAAGAAACTCATTCAAATAACCCTAAAAATTATGTTAGTAAAATCATTTAAAGTATACTCTTGATCAGTGGACAAGTAAATCGAACACAATACACATACTGTGAGTATAACATGGTAATCGGTAATTCAGTTAATAGTAACGACTCTAGTAGAACCTGGCCTACATGTGTATCAGCTTGAGTTGGGACAATATATCAGGACAACAAGATGAAGTTAACAAGGGAAAATATAACAGAAAAAGAACTCGAGGAATAAGAAGTATAAGTGTTTGACGGCAAAACACGATTGGGTCTGTCATTGTGACCGATTATGAGCCATGTGTTGAACAAATTCTTAAAATATTAGTCCCAGTTATCATACAAACCAGAATCAGGTACTCTATACCTAACTGCATCGCTTAGTTCAACAATATATCACTCCACAAGCTAACCATTTGTCATGGCTCAACCAATCTGCACTTTATTCAACTTATTTCGACATTCACCTTGTTAACTACACCTTGTTGTCCTGATATATTGTCCCAACTCAAGCTGATGCACATATAAGCCAGGTTCTACTAGAGTCGTTACTATTAACTGAATTACCGATTACCATGTTATACTCACAGTATGTGTATTGTGTTCGATTTACTTGTCCACTGATCAAGAGTATACTTTAAATGATTTTACTGACATAATTTTTGGGGTTATCCGAATGAGTTTCTTGTTCACTCTTTACATACACTATGTTTGTTAACATCAGATTTACAGCTACTTTCTGTCTACCTACATTTAACTAGTTTTCAACTTTTTACTCAAGCTAACAAGCAAAGGAACAGTGTAAGCGGTGCATAACCGTGAGTTACCTACCTCATAACCATAAAAGGGTATGTAATTACACAAGTTTATAAACCGATTCGCCTTTCTTGCCTAAAAATCTTTTGTTTTCTGCCGAACTACCTTTAGCCGCTAAACATCAAAATAATGAATCAGCTTTTGAATGGCTTAAACTAGTCACATAACAAATTAATCGATTGAATTCGACTAACCGTACTGAGGAGAAGTAGTCAGGCACAATATTATTTATTGGTTAATGATCAATCTCTTTGAAGTTAATTGTATTTATTTCATTCTCTGTTTTATTGTGTTCATATAGACGAATTGTTAGAAGCTATACTGATATCCACATATCAACTTCCATCAAATTCACGAACAATACACCAGATTAGTTCTTTACAACGATTTCAACAGACTAATACTACGCCTTCCACTACTATACCATCATCTTTGAATAAAACATCGTTATCGAGTATCAATAACAATAACAATAAATTTAATATTTGTGTAACTGTTGTACGTGATCGATTTCCTTTGGATCCTCAATGGAATAAATTCTATTCTGATCAATGGTATATGAGTTATAAACATTTGTTACCAATCACTTTACCAGGTCATCATATTACCATTGGTCCAGTATTAAGAATTACTAATTTATTACCATGTGATATGATATTTTTTATTTTCGAAACTGATATTAATGGTACATTGGGATCGAAAGAAGAAGCATGTGTTCATAATGTAAGTATATCAATCACATAACTGATGTATTCACTTACACCTGTTAGTCCTCGTGAAGGAGCGTAGCATAACTATCGTACTGTAGTATATATATATATGTGCATGTGCATACTGAATCTCTTATATTTATTTAGCGGTGATATACAAATGGTATTAACAAAGAATTTTCGATAATAATAATAATGTTTGATGTGTAATTCATTAATCAGGTAATGCATTTCAATGGCACTTGATGGGCATAAGAACGTGAATCTACCTAAACGCCTGAAGGCAAGTAAATCGAGACGTTCTATTAGTGTAAGACATATCGGAATAAAAGACATCATTGATGAGTTCGAACTCGTTCTACACAGTGACACAATTAAAAAAGCTGCCATTGTACTATTTTGATCGTATCTGAACTCATTCAAGAGTACGATGTGTATATCAACTCATAACTCTTGTATTGGTATTTGTCGTCTGTGGATAATCACCATAAGGCCGTGATATTCTACTTTATTTATTTATACGTTCTATTAAAAAGGATCATTACTTAAGATTAAATAACTTCAGCATGTTTCTTTCAAGTATTTGGTTTGCACTTCTTCAAGGAAAGTTCAAGTTCATGAATTCATAACTTCTATTATCAAATGGAAAAGTAAAACCAACAATTTCATCTAACAGCTTTGAGCTTAGTTCAAAATTTATTGATACAAAGCTTTTGATGAATTTTTTAAAATATGAATTGAGGAAGCACCATATATGCAACGGATCTACAATAATGAGATTACATTCATTTGGATTTAAATACATACTGTATTACTATATAGATTACTTTTGTGATAGGTGCTACTGGTATCAACAGATATAAGTAATATGTATCATCAATAGAAAGTGAAATACTTGGCCACAGAAGGTTAAGAAGATCAAATAGAAGAGAACTAGAACACGGAGTGGTTGATGTGGAAACGAAGGAACAATCATGTCCGAGACGATTGATTGACATTTTGCAAATGAATTATTTACTGCATGGTTCTCAGATTTTACTTGGAAATCCTGTAATTGTATTTGATTGTGTTCTCGTACACTACAGTATTGCATTAACAAGTTTGAAATTAAGAACTTCGTTGTTTTCAGAAAAAAACTTTATTGTTTATACGATACGTTTTCGAACATCAGTGTTCTCTTAAATCATCAAAACAGAATAAAAGATACTTTTCAAAAACTTTCATGCCTGAATATCTGGAACAATTCACATGAATTTAGGTAAACTACCATTGGAAAACACATAACACTGAATAGCGGCTTATACCCTGTATAGAACTTATTGATCATGGTTGCAATAGCTTCAATACAACTGAATTCCTCAGTTTCGGCGCAGATAATTACTTGAGTATTCGACGTTGATGAGTTTCAAGCAAAAAGTAATATCTGATCGGTGATTCACGACGTGTAGTTTCTGTTTTGATAAATTTATTCTGTAATGTAAATTTAAAACAAAACAGTGGGAGTACATCGGTTATTTTAATAAAACTAATTGCTCATATACTTTACATTCAACAGATAATAATCATCAAATATACTGAAAATTCATATTTTTACACTTTAGATATACGATGATGAAGAGTGTCACTCTATAGATCATGAACGTTATAATACATCTCTTAACTCAACTGGTTTAATAAATAACCAAAAGATATTGACTTCAGATTCTAAGATTAGCATGGAAAGTGCAATAGAATTACAAAGACTGCTTTTAGCTTCAGGGTAAAGGATTTTGGAAATATGCTCTATAGAATTTGTAGTTATCTATCCCACTACCCAGTTAAGAATCTCTAGAACAGTTAGTCACTTCAAAAATTTCATTGAATATCGTTACGCTTACGTTGAAGTAATTGCACTAATATCTACGCAAGATACTGAGTGTTCGTTGATGGGATACCATCAACAACAACCTACTGTAGGAAAGAACACACTAGCTCCCTGATGGAGACGAAATTAGGAAAAGACGATGTAAGTGGATAGGATATACATTATGGAAATTCCCAAACTGCATCATGAAGCAAGCGTTAATTAAGAATCCTGAAGGGAAACGGAAGAGAGGAACATCACAGAACACACTGCGTCGAGAATCGGAAACAGACATGAAAAGGATGAACGAGAGGTGGAAACAACTGGAAAGGATTGCCCAGGACAGAGTTTGATGGAGAATGCTGGTGGGTGGCCTATGCTCTTTGATGTGGGGTAACAGGTATAATTAGGTAAGTAAGTAATTTTACTAATCTCTAATGACAATTCATTCCTTAAATGTTCAATTTTAACGATGAGAACAAATCAATCCAACTAAATTCTATTTTGAAGAATGTAGATTGAACGTTTTTTTTAAAACAAACAGGTCAATTCTTATGATATATCAAAGAAGCTGAAACATGAGAACAATATATCACTGAAAAAGCACAACGTTAACTGCGAAATAGAGGATAATGATAAACAAATGTATCTGCTAACGTGTTTACTCAAAATATTTAAACGCAACGAGTCGAACTCCTTCCAGAAAACAAGACGCCCATGGTTACTTCGTTCTATGAAAGTAAAAAAGCCTATAATCTGTTACACAACGACCTTGTGGTGACAATTTTTGTAGAAGATATGGGTTGTCTGAACACGAATTTCGTCTTATTTGGGTCTCGTCAGCTGAATCTCAGACTTGATGTTAACTTGGCGGTTTATCTCTTCTCTAAAAGTTCTAACATAATGCCTATATCGAAGCAATCCCTACGGGAAGCACATACGCCAGCTAATACTGATCGAAATTTCGGCAAGAATATGAGCAATGAAATAACTCAAAAATCCTTAAAAATTAAAATAGCAGAATGCTTTATTTGAAAAAATCAGTCGTTAGACAAGTTTAAATGAAGGCTCCAAACAGTATTGGAAGCCCACAAAGCAAACCAGTATAAACTAACGATTGAAGCGCAACCATACTATACAGATATCTTAAAATGTTTTCTATTAATAACCACGAGTGCTCTTTGCATTCCTTTGTAGTGACCGGCCAGTCTCGATAAGAACACGATTGGAATAACAGAAACAATTTTTATTATTGTAACAAATCGTACCAGAGATTGTTTTACTGTATTTGTTTAACTATATAAGACTCACTTCTTTTTCCGCTATCCGCCTTGTTTGGTTCGAACTTTCTTACGCTCTGCCCATTTCGCCTGTACCCGTTGGCACGTCTCGGTATTATTTCAATACTACGAGATCGCCAATAAATATACTTGATCTGGATTAATATAGCCTTCTGATTTACGAGTTATCAAAGGAACCAAGTCGTTTTTGGGCGCGTAATCGAATAGTAGTGGTGATCATAGTCCGTCCTCTACTTGACTCCCACTACACCTTCTTTGCTAGATTGTATTATTTATTATTATTCAATAGTTCAATACGTACTCAAATATATCTTCATTTTTTTGATGTTCACTTATTTATTATTGTCATTACTTTTATTTCAATGTCTATCCTTGTGTATGCTACTTTCAAAAACTTTACTTTTCAGCAATATATCCTTCTAGGAATGTAGCACATATAATTCGTACACATTTTTAGTTAGTAGACCTGTTTTTTACCCTTGTACTTTCGGAGTTATAACTGGCATTGTTAAACCCTGGAATTCTACGAAATACCCCGGTATTTATAATTTCAGTATTTTTTACGCATAACTCGACTATTGAATTAGAAACACTTGAAGAATTCTACAGATATTTGAAGATAATGAGTACCAGGAGCGTAATAAATTATCACGCGTTTGTAAATTGTCTGAGTAACTCTAATCACAATTTAAATAACTGATATGGTCTGTAGTGCCGTGCTTCGATAATAGTTCACTTCGATAACCGTTATTATACCAATCTTAACGGTGTATAAAATCAGAAGGCATAAGGAAGCGGCAACTACATTTTTATTGATAAATGATGCAGACTAGAAAGTTGTAAGCACATGAGCAAATGTAAGCGAGCGAAGCAAAGATGATGCATAGTGGAGATGGCTGGGAAGCCAACTCGTTATAAGCAAGCATTAATCAACATTTATAGTCAGACTAAAATTAATGACAGACATGTGATAGGTAGGATAAGAAGTGTGCATACACATACGCTCATATAAAAATATAGTCAAGGTCAATAAGCGAATAATTAACAAGATCAAAATATGACTCATAACGTTATAGGTGAATTGGCTTGTCCAGAAACTAGAATAAGCTATGTAGGTGTAATATAGTACACGACGTTACACTACTCCCCACAGGTCCACTGTTTAAAACATTCACCATTCAATCATTTGTATGTAGTTTCGAACTTTACTCCACTACTTTCCAGTCGCACAATCAGTCTTATTTCTAATTCTTACATATAAAAGGCGTGTATATAAACCAAGTACAGAATCTTGTACTTAGTAAACATAAGAGCTATACTACATAAGATTGGAAAAGACGCAGAAGTTATTGAACATTCGGTTCATCCTTTAACGTGTAGTTGATCAGTAATGCACCTATACAGTCATAATCAGCAGGAGGGCTGATATATATGCACGTCAGCCCAAGTTACCATATCTGACATAAAGACAGCGGGATGAAATTAGCACGACGAATACCTAAACTTGTAGTATCAGCTAGAGTAATAAAGATTAGACGTAAAAAATATGATTCTAGTAGTGTAAATAAGTTTTCAGAATCGAAAACTCAAAACCTCGAGAGGAACAACGCGTGAACATATGTGCTCCATTGGAACGTATACTAAAACATCTCAACTTACGTTTTCAATCACTATTTACGAATGTTACACGGTACGAACTGGACAGTCTACTTATAACAGTATGAATCAGGTTAACTGCCACTGACTTCACAGACTGATGCCATGTCCTTGTCATGGCCCTACTTCACCTCTTGCGTTCATACTTACTATTCTTTAGTCTTCTCACACAATCATAGACTTTTGCAACAGTCAATAAATTTATGGACTTGTGTCGTCCAATTGTACCGGAGGAAAAGCAACATCTTTAGGGTCTCCTAAATACACGGCTTTAAGACGATCGATGCTAATGCCATCGTTGGTTCTGTTCTCATCGATGATGTAGTACTTCGGTTCACGATAAAGGATTTTGAAAAGTCCTTTGTCTTCGATTCCGAGAGGTCGTTGCAATGAATCGCGACGAACAAAAACGTGAATACTATGTCATAGGAAACGTTGATTGAAAACATCCGTCGACTTCGATCGAGTTCAAACAGGTTTAACTGAATGCATGGTGTTTGTAAGCCTGCTCGTGTAGAAGTTTAAATCTATGTTGATTTCAGAAGATGAAGGATATACGAATTCTCCTGGAAGTCAGATTGTCGTTCCACAAACGAGTTATGATGCAGTGTATCCAATATCAGCCCTCACTGAACTGCGAATACCGAGTAAAACAAGTGGAAGAGCGTCGGTTCACGGTGAAACGTTTGTAGCTGGGAGTGAATCTTTAAGCTTTGCCTGTGGATGTTAGGTGGTCATTCAGAATCGTATTATTCCTACTAGTGTAGTAAGACCATGGAACGGCCTAGACCCAAACTGACACCCAAGGTCTGAAGTGACAGTTGAGGAGCAGCCGAAGTTTGTTATCCATCGTTTGTTCAACGCTCGGGCCACTGTTTCAGCAGTAATTTCCTTAATGAGTACTAATTCTGGGTATTGTGTGAAATGGTCCACATAAGTAAAGAAGTAAAAGTATCCAATTGAACCTGTTAGTGGGCTAACAAATCAGGATAAACATAGTAGAAACGAGCATCAGAAGTTAAAAAGCAGCCTAGAAGATATTTGCTATATTTGATCAACTCAGATTTCTGACAACTTACACGGGAGCTTTCATAATCTCCCACATCTGAAGATGCCACTAGCATTCGGAGTTTGACAACACCTTAACCAGTAACACCTTTTATAGCCCAAACATGCCGACCCAGAGAAATCAAAAGTTAGAAGCGAAGATATTCGAAAATATATTTGATAGGCTATCGATATATAGAGAAGTGATCAATCTAAGCTGGCTAGATACTGTAGGACATGTGAAGCACGATGGGACCACTTGTGGTCTGGTGCGGATGCGCGATTGAGAACCTTCACCTTTGCGCGTCCATTACAACTATTGCGGTCAGCATCAAACGTATCAGTGATAGGCTATTCAGACGTAACAATCAGTGACGACCAGATGTAACAATTAGTGTTCAATGTAGAACACATATCATTATTACATGCATTTGAGTTTTACTAATTTATTATACTCTCCATTCGAATCTTAATTCACCTGTGTATCCTGTTGCTCGTACATGTTATCACTTGATGTGCTTGTGTACTATCAATTGGTGCTCTACGACAACAAACTGCAGTCGGCGCTCCGTGTTGCTCTCTCAATTCATACGCCGTCGGGAGTTCCTTAATGACGGTTGTCAGAGCAGCTGGTACAAGAAGCCTCAGCAACCTTCGTGAAGATAATTCACTACACCAAATCATTTGGTGCCCATTACTGAAGATTCCATGGGTATTCAGTGCTCGATTATACTGTTATCCGTAAAACATTTCTAATGAAAGGTCTCAAAGCTAGCCAAAACAAATATGGAGAATGAAGGTGTTCGAGAATATATTGAGATTAGGATTAATGTGTCGAGAAGTATATGGTCTGACCTGATTTGTAGTTGGGAGGGATGTGTGTCATAGCGTGCCAAGTTATGGCCTAGTGCGGATGTTTGGCCGAGCGTCTTCAGCAAGAGTGTGACCAGAGAAACTAATGATGTCACTGTCAGAGTTGAGGACTGATGAAAATTTTTTTAGTGTTTGTTTGACTCCATAACTTATACTCACAAGACGTTTACATTCCCCCAATTGGAACAACCTCACCTGATGCACGCCTCGTAACTTCTCATTACCATCACTATTATTCCCATTATTATTTTGTTTATTATATCCATGACTATTATTCATCTAACTTGGCAATTTATAACTTTGGCAAAAAATTTCATTTATTAGTTTTATCCTTATCTTCTCTTCAATCATCTTCGCTCGTTTAATATGATGGGTGTTGGTCCTAGTAAATTCACTAGCATGTATCAAGAGTACTCATATTCGATGAATAATACCTCAACTAACTATCTCATCCAAGAGGATAAAATAACCACATGAAACGATACCGAAGACCTGAAGCCGTACTTCATTGTCAAAAAACGAGTGTAAAGCAATCAATTGGTTAACGTGAGCTCGTCAAAAGGTTATTGGACAATCAGACCCTGGGGTTTCAAGGACAGATGGATAAGGTGCAAGTTATGAACTTGCTTACCTATGTTCGTATAGTTGCCGTATAAAGTTCACATGTTCAGTATGGGAAAAACTTGGAGGTATATAAACATATCTTTAAATGCGTTTTGTTAAATTCGATGAATTTTCACCATAATGGGCAGTTCTTCACGTTTATCTTACCAACTATATGTGTTTTCTTTACAAATTCCTTAATTCTCGGTCATGAGATTTTGCATCTGCTTATTAAAATCCTTGAACCTTATGGGCCTAACAGTTGTGATGTAAAAATCGTTATCTGTTTTTTTGACACTGTAAGCTTCAGAAGTCAAGCTTTTCTCAATCGTTGTCTGAGTTGTCTGCACATCCATACACAAAAAATATTTAAGATAATGGATCACAGCGTAACTCTTCATAGGTCTAGTCTAACAACTATGCCATGGGTGCGGTGATAACAAACTATCCGAGGCTGAAATAGGGATTCTTACCATCAGTCGTTGACGATTGATAAATTTAGGAAATAAAGAGATATAAAATAAGACAGTACCTAAGGTTTGAAATATCACATGTTCTTGTAGATTTACACTGACACAATTGATGTCTGGTCACTTCGTTTGAGTTTTGACCACTAATCATTATTTAGTTAGTAACATTATTTCTGACTGGTTTTGTGGGGCTCATAGCGGGTGAATGCATTTGTAAACAGTTGGCATCATCTAATTTTAATATGTTTAGCAGATGTCTAACCTTTTATACCATAAGAAGGAGTGCCTGGTGATTTAAAAGGGGTTAAACGTGGTTAGTAAGTTTATATGTCGTAGGAAATTTGATTCTATCTACTCTATGCACTCGTTGAATTCCTGAACATCTCAACAATATAGACTGCTTAAGAATAGTAATGTACAGATATTATTGCAACCCTTTACAAATAGAGTGATGAAAATCGGCTTGACAGTGAGATTTTCTGATAGTATATATAACCAGTTTAACTTATTCTTAAAGCAATTGGCTGTAATCAACGGTTGCTCTGGATGTTCTGTGACTCATTTTATTAAATCATGGTTGTCTTGGGGAGATTTAACTGGTCTCATCGAAGTGTCTAAAGATTGAGTTTTTTCCCATAGTTTCGAAGTATCTTCTTATATAGTCAGTTCATTCTAACTACTAAATGTATTGCTATTTTGAATTGTATTACTTTAGTAATCAAGTTACAAAAGTACATAACCTTTCAAAATGTTAGGAACGTTTGGAGTTGTACATTTTTCATCTCAATTAAAAGCACTGTCAGTTATTGCCATGTCACTTAAAACATCCCTTGACTATACTGATTTACAAAACTTAAAGTTTACTACAGTTTATTTAACATACATTTTTACTTGATACAGACCATTTTTCATCTCTTGATCTTGCTTAACTTTTCTCCTGGTTTGACAACAGATGGAAAAATTCTCCGGCTCAACCTGGTAAAGCTTATCATCCAACGACTGTGGAACATTTAGCTAATTGCATATCACATGTTCCATGTGTTCCACTTGGCGTTGCTGGTATGATTAAACTGTGTTCAAAGGCAGATACATATTCTAAATCAGTGGCGGCAATCGTTTATGGCCTTGCCATCGTCTCACTCTTCTTTGCATCCTCTGTCTTTCATTTGTTCTCTTTGTTCTATATTAATGGGTAAGTTTTGCGTATTCTTAGAATTAGAACATGGTAACTATGGTTAAAACTGGTCACTCAGAAGTTTTTGTGAAACCACTTAAATTGGTAGCTTTTTAAAAGTGTGGCTTACAATTTTTTAACGTGAAGTTTACATGTTTGGCCTTGGGTGATGAGGTTTCTCAATGTATCCGTATTTTGCAGCTATGCCTTTAAGTGGTTTGTCTCAGCACAAAACCCAGATCAAATTAATTCCATGATATATTTTTGACACTTAAAGTAACTTTTGGACATGGTTTTCTCACAAACTCTTGCATTTTGTTTATTGATAAATTTATGAAAGTAATTCTGTTTATTTTAAAATTCCATCAATTTTACTGATATATGCATGATGCTCATACACATATTATGTATAGGAATATGTCCAGAGGCATGAATTTGTACATCACTTCTCCTACATGGGATTTTAAAGCTAGGCAATATTGATTTATCAGACGCTCGTAAATTAGCGGCAGGCAAATTATTTTTATATTTATATTCAAAAGTGCAAATTATTGATCAGTTCAGGTAGACATTTTATCTACACTTCAAGCTTTTCAGTAAAATCACAAGTACTTACCAATGGCCATTTTTTATTGATGAATTTTATTTACTTGCATCATCTATTATATGAACCCTTTTTTAAGTTGGATGGATTATTATGATAGAATGGACTTTCACTTCTTTAGATTGATAAAAAATTAATTACAATAATATGTTTGTTCTCGATTCTCCTCTCATATAGTGGCATATAAAGAAACGAATAGCTTGTATGTATGTGTTTAGTAACAAACTTTGGCTTCTGTTTGAGTTAGAAGAGTTAACGGATTAGTTTTACGTTAGTAGTTTTCAACCTTATAGTTTGTTGACTGTCATATTGCCGAAAAGTCATGAAACTGTACATTCTTTTCCATAATTAAAACCTAGAGTTAATGACTACGAACTCCAGTTATGATTGTTTTCAAGTTATATCCATTTTACTTTAGTTATAATAACTTTTGACTTCTACCTAATTCATAAATAGCATCTAGTAATGCACTAAGGAATCAACAAATAAATATTTTAATATTTGAATTCGTGAATCGATCTAAGTCAGACCACCAGGGAGGAGTCCCATACTAGAACGAAACGGTCGTCCAGTGCTTCCAAGTTTTTAATGGTGGTCTAGCTTAGATCTACTCATGAATTCAACTATTAAAATCACTATAATCTCCACAAATCCCCATTCTGAAAATAAATATTTATTAAGATTTCAGATAAATCTGATGCTTAAGGTTGATACAAACCGTTATTTTCATCGTCATTATAGTTTTGGAAAGTTTCTTTAACCGATCAAAACCTTTGGATGAAGTGTGGTGTTTCTACTATTAATGTTCGACTTTGTGAAATAAAATTTTAGATCTCTTTTAGAGGTAGTGGATTTAAGACCTTTAGAAAATTTACAAATGCACTCCAGAATTTCGTTGCAGCCAATCTACCACTAAGAATTCATGTCTTCGGTAGTGCTTGGAGGTTCCTTTAGTCGTTTCAAATAGTATTTTGATTAGGTTTATACTGAGAATTCAATACATAGTAATAAATAGTTTATTATTAAATAAAGTGACTAGTTTTTACCAGTCGTTTTCAAATCTAGTTTCTACATCTTAGACTAGCATCCAAACCTCTCGATCTAGAGTTTATTGCCTGTTCAGCCTATAATTACATGATATTCATCTAGAATCTAACTGTTTTCAATGTTTGTCTAACTCCCATTGGCTTGTTATCAAAGCCACTTCGAAGCCTTTCTAATTAATTTTACATTTTCAATACATATGTCACCATGATTATATGAAAAAATATCAAGAGAACTCGTTAGCAAAAATTGAAAAGGTCACTAAGAAGAATTTGTTAGTTAAATCTCTTTCTTTTCTCTCTCTCTCTCTGCCTATATATATACATTGTGGTGCTGATGTCGACAGATATTAGTAGTATGTATTACCAATAGAAAGTGAAATACCTGTTGGTAGAAGATTAAGGAGGTAGAAGAAGAAAAGAGAACGAGAACAAAGAATGATTGAGATGGAAACGAAAGGACAATGAATTCGGAGACGATTGGTTGACATTTTGCAAATGAACTATTTGCTGTATGGTTCTCAGATTTTACTAAGAGATTCTGTAATTTCGCATTTGAACATATTCGATTGTCCCCACTTGCGTTCTCGTTCACCATAATACTAGTTCAACATTTTTCTTGAAGGCTGTTTAAAATCTCAAAACAGTTACTTATTATTTGTTGATTACAATGTATTCGAAAAATGGGGCATTTCTGGTGGAAAAACTTCAATACTAGAGTTATTATTGAAGAACAATCATCTGAAAATAGATGATCTAATAACAGTTTACAAATTGAATGTTAAGTCGTATTTCATTAAACTCCTATACTGAAAACCCAGCAACTTCTAATTAAGTACATTTTCTATAGTTGAAAACATGAGTCAATTAAAGTTAAATCACCATCGAAAACCTAGAAGCACTGGGCGGCCGTTTCATCCTATTATGGGATATCTCAGCAGTGAGTATCCGTGACCCCGCCCCGCGAGATTCGAACCGAGGACCTTTCAGTATCGCGCCAGAGCACTTGACCGATAGACCACTGAGCTGGCATCTAACACTGTTAATGCCTAACTTCAACCAATCCACGAAGTTTGAGCAACCGTTCACCAATTATCCAGTGCTTTCAGGTTTTCGATGGTGGTCTAGCTTCAATTGGCTCATGATTTCAACTATGAAAAATACTGAAATCTCCACAAAATCCCTTCTAATTAAAGACATTTAAATTCTATGAACTAATTATGAATAACAATTCAGTTTACTGTCATCCTCAAATAGTAACTATCAATATTTATCAGTTCTTCAGTATTCTTTCTTCTTGTCGAAACACAAACACTTCCCTCTTGAAATTCTATTTTTATCGTCATAAATATTTCTTATTATTTTATATTCACATAATATAACTTCATATTTGCTTGCCAAATTACTTAATCTTTAATTATCTAGGAATTTGTTAATGAATAGTTAAAACTGTGAAAACGTTTTTGTTGATAAAGTTCATACTATAAATAAATATTTCATTTGACAACAAACTAGATAACAGGGTCTTTGTTTCTATCTACTGAATAAAAATGTAACTAAATGATAACTTTGAGGTCAGATGCTCCAGACGTATATATGAGAAAGGTACTGTGTTCGCGTTTCACCATGAACATCAACTATGAAATACAAGCACATCTAGTTGATAAGTTCCAAATAGGACGAGACGTATGTCCTTGATGGCACTAGTGGCCACTATGAAACTTTAAAAAATCATTAAATAGTTTATTAGTGCTTATTTAGTTATGGATGTACTCAACTAATCAGTAATCATGTATGAATGAGTGTTATGTGCATGTTATTACTCCGACGTCCTTGTCACTGTGGACACGTCCACCAGATACCGACTGTTCGCATATCCGCCGACCAACGTCCACCTCACGATCTATGGTTGTTGGTCGTGTGTGGTGACACGGCCACGAGGAGATCCTCGTTTTTATGGATGAGTGTACTCAGCCTTAAGTCATATGATTATTGTGTGAAACTGCCAGTGATATTAAACAATTTTCTTTCGTACAGAGGTAAATGGAATGACGTTTGAACTTTGTATCTAGTGATTTAGATTGAATGATTTAGTAATGAAACCTTCCACACTTCTAGCTATATGTTTACCTTATTTGAACTGTTATACATGTAAAATAAGAGATTATCGTCTACCTATTTTATCCTATTATTCTTTATACTAGTATGATCCGTTTGTATTCATTGTTTAGTCAATCAACTAACGTCTACTAATCTAACAGTGTCTCTCCATATATTCAAAACGATTACTTACCATATACAGGTGATTACTGAAGTAAAATTATAATACGTTATTTACCGTTATCGATTTGTTATAACTTGTAGATCTCCTAGTTTGTTCTCAATTGACTTATTTTATTTTACCTTAACTCCTTTGTATTTCTCATTCAAATCAACTGTTCATATGGTACATTTGATGTTTCATTCGATTTTACTAGTGTAGTGGTGGACAATCGAATGTATTTAGGCACAAATTACAGACTATCTCACTAGATTCTGATAACCATACAGCAAACAGTTAATTTGCAAAATAACAACCAATTGTCTCAATCTTCACTATTCCTTCTGTAAAAATCAACCCGTCTTCTCTAATTTCATTGTTTATGCATTTTCCTAACAATTGCGCTTCATTTCAGTTCTTCCCATAACGGTCTTCTGCCAAAATACATTCTATATCTGACCATCACCATCACGAATCTCGCGAGTGCGGGATCGTGGATGCGCACTGCATAGGAGTCCCATAATCGGACGAAACGGCCATCCAGTGCTTTCAGGTTTTCCATGGGGGTCTAGCTTCAATTGACTCACGCTTTAAACTATGACAATACTAAATCTCCACAAAACCCCTTGTGGAAATATATTTGTATGTCAATCTGTAAATTGAGTAGATTCTTTTTATTCAATGACCATCTCTTTTTAATCAACAGTATTGTATATGTGTTTTTTAAAACGCAGTGGTATGTAACCAAGATGTTACACAAAGTCAAATTAGAAACTTTAAAGATTAAATTAACTCGTTCACGAGATATTTGAGTATGAGCCATACTTCAAGTAACTCCGCCTGTAGCTCCTCTGGGGGTTACTGCCGGTCCCAAGCCCGGGTAAAGGAGGAGGGTTGGGCATGGGGTTAGCGACCCCATCCCGTAGAAAATCAACTCGCTAAAAAAACGCTAACCAGAAAAAATCATTCAAACCTTTCAAACTCTGCCCTGGGAGTAGAAGGAATAATTATGACGTCTCATGATGAAAGCCGAGCTCCTTCGGAAGTCATGAGGCCGATGCACCTTCTTACAACCAGAGCGACAATTTTTATATGGTACATGGAATGTCCG